TGCCTCACAAGACCTCAGCCTTGCAATAATGATAAATGGCAGCACCTCCCTCCTTGCTGGGTTTAAAGAGAAGGGGAAGCTTATAAACAGAAAGCATCAAGACACTGTCGTAAGTATTCATGAACAGAATCGATCTAAAAAATCAGCAAGTTTATATTACCCTGGATAATGCTACTGCTACAGTTAAAAACATTCCCTGTAAATGTGATTCTTAAGGAGAAGAATCACATTTACATTCCCTGTAAATGTGATTCTTAAGGAGAATCACATTTGTATTGCATTTTACAGTTTACCTGAACAACATATTTTCTTCCAGCTGACAGCATGAGTAATTTCATTGCACTCAATAAAATTCACTGTTTGAAAAGCTTAAGTCAGTCTTCTTGCTTTAGGGTAAGGTCTACACATTCTCCACTCCAAACATAACTTTCAAGAAACAAAGATTTTTTTTCTGGTATTGGGAAGAAGTGTTTTTATAGGGCTTCTGATGTCAAAATCTATGAACTCCTGCAGAAAAGTGAGAGGATATGGGCTACTTCTGAAGTGATAAAAAACATTTTATTGCCTATTCTTTTACATTAGATGCTGTTAACTTTCACCGAATGCCACAGAAGTTGACAAGGCAGAAGAAAATTCTATGATTTGCTGTGTATAGTGCGTATTTTTTGCCTCTTAGAACCACCAAAGCCACAAAACTCACACATGCCCATTTCAAAAGAAACTGTGTAAGTATTCTCTGCTTTCTGGCTACCAGCCAGGCTACAGAAGTGAGCTACAGCCAGCAAAAATGAACCAGACTGACCAATTATTTTTCCTTCGGTTGTGCTCTTGAGAGCAAGGGGAGATTTTACCTGCAAAGTTATGCTATAACTATTTCAAGCCTTTCAAAGAGTTAAGGAATACTTCCAAATTGTTAAGTAAATATAATCCAAGGCTCTGCAACTGGACCCTACCTGTTCCAACGCTGGGGAAAAAAAGACAATATTTTGAGGAAATTTTACTGTGTTAGCAAAGAAATCTAGTAAACACAGTAATATATATATTTTTAATATATTCTACCCATCTATCAATCATCTATCTATTCCAGGACCAACCCTCCCTGTTCCTTGCCTCTTTTGATCTCTTGTCAAGGCAGCTCTGGCTGTCAAGGCAAGAAGAGTGTGTCACTTTGGACAAGACAGGAATCAAAAAAGTCCTTTTGCAATTCTTGACTTGGTGTCAACATTAAGAAAATATTTAATTTCAAGGAGAGAGTGGAAAAGGAGAAAAACAGGAAGCCTATAGGGCTACAGTATTTTACAGGATAAAACCAGATAGGTTCCAATGAAAAGTTCAGCACCACAAGGAGCTTTCATATTTTGTTGCACATTGTTATAATGCACGCAAGTCAAAATATTTGGCATATGGATTAGCTGAAGGCAACGTTTTTATTAAGGCAATGAAGAAAATTATCTTCCTAGTGTCCTCTGACACTAAAATTTCCTGTCATGCAGAATTCTGAACTTTTTTAAACTCATGAAATTTGAGAAAAATTGGTGTGCATTTCAAAATGTCATACTGTCAAAAAGAAAAGAAAAAGCTGGCACAGAACAAATAAACAGCAGCTGGCACGCAAAATATATTAAAAGTCTCAATAACCAACTGTTAGTAATAACGTCTCAACAAGTCAACTGCATTTCACTCTCTTTAATTTTTTTTACATTTTACCTTTCTTCCCAATTTCCTTCTGCCAGCCTATGTAAAACAAATCATTAGCATCACTGACAAAAGCACTCAAGTCATATTGCAGTAAGCAGTTATCTGTGTCATTACATACGCCATGTATGTCATTACATACCCACACTCACATTTCTATGCTCTCTGATGTAAATGTCCCACTATCTATCTGATCGATAGAGCCACAGTTTTACTGATCTTCTGCTTCAGAACAATAGCAGCAAAGTATTTTTGAAGGTAAAAAGGCTACAGGCTTTGTCTTCTAGCTAGGAGGAGGACACTGAACAAGAGTTCCTTAATAAATGTTGTTATATGCTGTCTCAGATGAGAAATTTTACTATAAATACAGAAGAAACAAAGATTGAATATGGCTTGCATGGTTAAAAGAAACAGAGATGAGAAAAAGTTTCCAGATATCCTTATTTCTATTAGCATCAGCCTTTACTGAAGGCTCCCAATAACAAGAAGCTTGCTTGGATGGGAGCTGTAGTAATCTGGTACCTACCAAAGCACGTGTAATGAGGGAGGGTCCCAACTTTGGGAAAAAGAAGGGGTTTAACCCAGAACCCCCACAGATGTATCATAAATTCACCTGTGAATTTATGGGTTTGAAAAAATCCAGCAGTTTGCTTTCTAAAGCAAGAGGTAGGTGTTTTAATTTGGTTTAGATTATGATATTGGTGGGACAGCAATCACCAATTTCCCACTCTGCTTTTTAAGCTACGCAATCCACTAAAGCAACACTGGACGGAAATTGCCTTCCTGCAGTTACTTTCCATTTCTAAGCAGTTCTACAAACACAGTTTTTGAATTGTGTCTAATCCAGAACTGCTTATTGGAGTGGACTTCGGTGCAGAGATTCACTGACCTGGAAGCAAATCACCTTTCAGTGCACCGTCTTTTACTGTCTTTACTCTCATCTCAATATATTAAACTGATAAAAGTTCTGGAAAAGCTTTACTTTCTTTATACAGGAAAAGGAAAGACTGTCATAAGAGTATCTCAGGTGGAGCAACAGGTCAGCAGACAAAACTGTAAACTGTATAGATTTAATCTGCAAGTGTTAGTTGCAACAAAAGGTCAGTTCTGGCCCAAAGTATCTGCTGCTTTGTGGGATCACCACACAGCTGGGCAAAGTAACATCTCTTCTTCCCAGCACTTTACGATGCAACAGCAGAGGGTGTTGCAGATCAGGCCTAACGTGCCCAGAGGAGAATGATACAGGATATCTTACACAGCACTTGGATTTTTTAATAATTTTTTTTTCTTTCTGTCTGAATCTCTTAAGTTTTTTGTAAGTGTTAGCACGAACTCAGAAATAACCTGAAAATAATTATGACTGGAAAAAAAATCCCAAACATACACATGCATGAAAAGAGGAGGAGAGAGTTAACACAAGGAAACTGTTTCCTTTCTAAACAGAAAAATTCCTTGTCAAAAAGTGAATGGGAAAAATAAAACAAAAGTTTAATCCTCATGGGGAATACTAAAGGAAAGAGATGAGTCTTCAGACATGACACAAGATCAGTCTTACACATGAAATCCCAGAGGAAATCACTGTTCTGAAATAGGACATCAAATCTCCCCAGATACTGGAATATACACAGAGAAGAGAAAGATTATCCAGCACTTAATGGTTCTGAGAGATTGCTTGTTTCACACCTGATGATTTCTAGGGCACCCTGATAAAAACCAAGAGCCTGTGTGCTGTTTCTTAGCCTCCCCCATTGTAAGAGAAGTGAAAATATATGGTGCATAGAACAGCTGAGGAAGTCCTATAGATTCCCCAAGAAAAGTCTGCTCATTGCAGAGAGACCATCCTTTTATTGATGCCCCGCCTCCCTCTCATCTAACATTCACATGGGAAAACCCTGGAGACTGAACAGCGCAAACCTTTTGGAAGACTTCTACATACTACAAATGTAGGTATTTTTATTTTTTTAATTTACAAAGAAAAGAGAAATAACTGATCCATAATTGGATCTCTTATGTCAATACCATACCATGCTCTCTTCCTGTCTGTAATCGAGCAAAATAGCTCTATAGCTGGATATAGCACCACAACAAAGTAACACTCATACTTTCTAAATAGCCACCTTAACTGCCTTATTGCAAGTAGATAATGACCCACTGAAAATCCTGTTCAGAGGAGGAATGCTACACTTTCCCTGTAATATCTGTATCATTGCTAAATCCAAAATTTTCAAAGATGCATCCTGGAAGCAGGGATTGGTGGACAGTCACCCATAATTCCTAGTTATGGAGAGAAAACCATAATTTCTCCAAAGTGACTGATTACTGTGATAGCTGCTCTCAGTCAAAAGCCAGCCATCAGCTGCATGCATTACAAACATACTCAAATTTTGATCCATGTGTTTTTAATATACAACTTGGTACAAAACACAAGTTTCAGTGGCTGTAGGCATTTCCCACTGACATGAATGCAACTGAATCATCAAATAAGAAGGGAGAATCTACCCCTCCTTGGTTCATACGATGTTGATGTCCCAGTCAAATGTAAGCAGGAAATCAGTTCTGCCGGAGTGACATGCACAGCCCCATAGAAGCATCATATTTCTTGGTTTAGGCATATGACACAAGACTCTCTTCTAAAGAAGTTAGCAATAAATAAGCATTGGGAGTGATGGACTGACGCAGAGAAGAGAGAACCTTTTCAGATTGACCATGGGGAACAAATGAAGGGGTAGATTAAGTGCTGTTTTCATTTCTCTACTCAAGTCTCCTAAGTCTTTTTCCTCAGCATGCTTTGTACTTAAAATGCTGTAAATATGTGTTCTTATTTGTACTTTACCTAAACTCAGTTTAACTGAAGGTTCATTTCATTTCAACTCTTAGTCAAGGTTGAGGGAAAATAAATATCCTAGTAGGGGAGAACCTCCAAAGCCTGCAGCTCCCCAAACCATTTCTTGAAGGTTTACTTAAGTAGATATTGCTGAAACCATTTTGAGAATATTTTATCAGTATTATTTGAGAGCTGAGTATGACAATTAAAAGAAGAAAAAGCTATTCTAGCAGTAAATGGGAAGCTTTCTGGCATGTAGCAAGATCACTGGAGCACCAAGTGCTTGCCCAGGAATGAAAACCACACAGTAACATTAAGAATAAAAGCAGAGCATGAACCCTTCCCCATCAATCAAACCTGCTCTCTAAAAGGCAGATAAATCTCTTCATTGACTGAACAAGACATAAATATACACCTTTCAGCAACCACGCAGATTTTGTCGAAGCTTCTATAAGAATAGCTCTTTAATGGAAAAAGTTACCTGGGTTTTTGTAGATGCTAAGCACATCCTTGAAATAATGAGGTAAGAATCTTTCTAATAAAAGCAGCACATCCTCCAGCTCCTCCAGAATGCCCACAAGCAGAAAATTTTCATTAACGTTCAGCTTTGCTCTTTCAAGGGCCCATTCACCAGGCTCCCTGTATGAAATTAATGGAGGGAGAGAGAGGGAGGAGAGGAAAAATAAAGTTTAAATATGCATTTATTTCAGAAATTCAATCCAAGAACACAACTGAATAAAAAATTATTCAGCGCTGTACTTCTAACAGAACATAAAACCCCCACTACCAAACCTGAGTGGCTTACCGAGCTTTTCTGCACAACATCTAGTATTGGTTTTGCATGTAAAAACATGATCACATTAAAAGGAGATTAATGACTGTGTGGAAGTACTCTGTTCTGAAGATATCGTTCACCAAGTTATTTATAAGCTCAAACTTGCGAACTCCTGTATTTTGACTTGGAAGCACGACCCATTTCATGGGAGAAATGACTTCCCCGAGTGACGAAGGGTGCTAAGGGGTGGCAGCATTCCTGAACAACATCAGGAGAACTTCTATGAGCAACCACACTGCTTGCTGTTACCCAGTGAATACCACACAGAAGGCTACCGGCCTGTTTCCCACCCTGTCAATTACCGCAGTAGAATGCTGCACTTTACATAGATTTAAGTATGATTACTATTTCTTACATGGACATAGAAACCCAGCGTTCCTCAGATATAGGCCTGATACAAGCAGCTGAGCAGAGCTAAAACATGTATTACAGAATTACAGTGCAGGCAAACTGAGTAAGGAGCATATACGGTTACTGCCATTCTCACTTTGCCAACCCAGACAAGAAAAATTCATGTAAATATATCCAGATTTGATGAATTATTCAAGTATTAAATCAAGAAAAAAAGAATAGTCCTACATTTGCATTATCCTCCTTACTCCAAAATATATGTGTGCAGTTACCACACACAGCACTACGTTGTGCTTACACTTTTCTCTTGTACTTCAAATAACTGTTGCCTCTTTATTATCGGTTTTTGACAAAATATTGGCAATAGCTATTGCTGAACAAACTGGGATACCTTGTACATATTTACCTGCATCTTGGATGCTGTCCACAGAAATATGGTATGATGTAAAATAACCTGGGATTGGAACATTCAGGGTAGTTTTCAAGGATACATACATTAATGTCCTGTGAGGTAGAGGGAAAAAAAAAAAACCCCACAAGTTGAATACTGCATTTGTCTTTCTCTATTAACAAGTGTTTTCTTTATCTCATACTTTATGTAGTCATTTGGGAATAAAGAATTGTGCTGAGGCTATACCAAATACCTTGAAAATCACCTACTGGTTATTTCACTACTTCTAAATATCATTAGAAAGTTGCATGAGAAAAAAAAAAGTTATTTTGTTCTATAGCGCAAATAACATTTTGTTTTTTCTTGCTGCAAATAACACATTATATTGAGATTACTGCATGATTCAAAGCAGGACACATGGATCAACTTTCATGTTGAGTTATATTTAAGATATTTAGGAGATTATTTTCAGACTCTTCTTTCTTCTAAATACACCCTGGGGGAAACCCGAAGTAGTCAGAATAAATCAAATTGAGACAACAATTATTTTCTTTATTTTTTTAATTTTGCTTCATTGAATGACTAGAATGAACAAACGTAAACTGTAATTTGCACAGCTTACTCTTGATATCAAAATATACATCACTTTTGATTACAATTCTGTACATTACTCAGATGTTTAGAATTGAGCCTACTGTGTAAACCCTCACTGAGAAAAGGGGCTTATTAGAAAGTATTTATCATTTTCCTGATTTATCATCCATCTAGCTGGCAGCTATTTATCATTTTTCAAAGACTAGAAATAGCTACTGAACCCTGAGGAGCTGTATTCCATATCTAGCTTTACTCAAGTGCAATAATAACCATACCTGCAACTGGGATTGAAATCTACTGTCCTTATCCAGTCTAACAGACCCTTACTCTGCAAGCAGATCCACTGACTCCAGAGACGTATAGGGCAAAAAAAAAAAAAAAGCACAAGACAACATAAGCAAAGATGAAAGGATCTCATCTTTGCAAAACCAATGTTCATTCTTATTTAAAGACACATGCTTTTATGATGTAATGGACTTGATACACACCAATGTCAAACCAATGACTAATCAAATCCATACTTCATCAAATAAATAAAACGCGACAGAGAACACTTCAGTGGGTAACATGTCCTCTGCCAAGATGGAAGCGCTCAGCAGTGTGGGAGACATGAAGAGCATCATCCCCTGCTCTCCCCAGGGCAGCGTGGGGTCCAGGCCCCCAGTCGCACCACTTGCTTCTGAGATCTCAGCGCAGAAAAGCTCTTCTCAGAACTTCAGCCCTCGTGCCTAACATCATTAGTGGCACGTTTGGGTTTGTAAACCTTTTAATGTACATTCCTGTTTCCTCTTCTGTCTTATGCTTACATAAATCAGATTTTACAAGCACATCAGAAGATCCTGGGCTGGGAAATAAATCACAAAGTGAGGAACCATCAGAGAAAACAACATAAAAATTGCCAACTGAGATACAAACAACCCATCTCCCCTGCTTCTCCCAGTCTATGTGAGCGTACTGAGAATGGCTTGCCTTAAATACATACCCAAAGAGTTACAGTCAAGACCTTAATTTTGACATTCAAGGCTCTGAGCTGAAACTAACCAGGCCCCCATTCTCAATGTTACGAATATTAGTAAGAAATCTACTGGTGGGACACGCATATGTTCCTCCTATCATCCCGATAGGGTTTTTTAACAAAAATTTAAAATGACAGTTCTTTAAAGGTTTATTCTGCTTTTACTATAGACACCACCAGACGTTTTCAGGGATACATATTTTCAGGTTCCATAAGAACCTGCAGAGACCTGCAATGAATTCATAAATTGTTTGGATTTTAAAAAATCTGAAATATTGTCCTGACGTTACTTTGAATTATGTCCAAGGCAGCTTGCACTTGATTGATGAATTAATAGAAAGGCAGAAACACCTAAGTAAGATTTAAAAATCATTAGTAACATCAAGAACCATTCCTCTTTTCTCACTCTCATGCAAAGGTGAACAGACATTAACTCACAACAAAGAAACTTACTGCTGCTTTTCAAGAATAATGAATACAGTGAGTCAGAAAATATTCCCTGAGACAGATAAGTATCAACACTCAACACAAAAGTGTAACAGAGGACCTTCTCATCATTCGGAAAACAATAATTGCTTAATATGGCCAGAGAAACATCCATACAATAAAAGCAACGTAAATTCATGTGAAAAATCCTACAACTTTAACAAATGAACAGCTTCTATTTATATAAAAAGAGATTTTTAATATTCCTTTTTAGGCTAAGCTGTTGTAGGATCACTGAAATAACCGGGATGACACTAATATAAACTATCGAGTGGTAATTAACTTCAAATTTGGTTTGTGGAATGAATGCAAAAGGATGAGAGACAAAAACCTTCCCCCTCCTCGATGATGCACTCAAGGTTTAAGGTAAAGGCCAGGTATGCTTTCATAAAAACCTACAATTTTTTCGCCACACAACAGCACACATTTCACGTTCTGACATCAGAAGCACTAGGTTTTCTCCACAGTAGAAGCATTGCCCCTTTCCAGTCTCTGTTTACCACCACTGCTGGGATCTGTGTCACAGCTGCTGGAGCATCCTGATGCATCTGCAGCACCTGTTCACCTTTCCCATTTTACTGTATCAGGAATCTGTGAAATAAATCACCAGCCACCATCCATACCCTCAGAGGAAACTTTACTCAATGATAATTACGCAGCTCCACGAGACGTAAAATCACAGTTTTTGACCAAGAGGTGGGGCAAAAGAGAGGTTAGCCTGAGGTGTGCTAGTCATTACAAAACTTAAATGCACCTGCAGGAAGCTGTTCCTCAGCTGCTAGCAGGACTTACAGGAATTGCTGATTTTTTTCTGAGCATGGAAAGCTAAGGTGAAATGATGTTATTCTAGACAGTGTTATTCTGTTACCTTAAGCAACATTAAAGCCACATTTCCCAGTAAGAGCATGTCTTCCCAGCAGGACACAGATCTTTCAGGGCCGAAAGGTTTTTACGTGAGACAAAAAATTGCAAGGTGACAGATGACAGCCTTGCTCATTTAAACCACTGGAGGAGCCTTGTAAAAAAAACCAAACAACACAGCCAGGAAAGATACAGAAAGAAACACACACAGTTACTTTGATCATACCTCTCCACAACAAAGAAAGGGGAATTTTATTTTATTTTACTCCTCAGCTCCTGGCTACAATCCACACTGCTTATGTCCCACCGGGCTTCTGTCTCCAGCAGGGCAGAGGGACACCTGGGAACCAGCCCTGGGGCTGCAAGTAACTACAGCAACCATCCTTCTTTTTAATAGTACTCTATTTTTCTACTCTTGTTACAATTTTTGCTGAAACGGTAAATTGGTAACGTCTACTTCCTTCTTCTGCAAAACTGTTTTCATATAATAATCACAGTGTGCCCTACTGAACAAGCCAGACTACTGATCTATCAGAAATATATCGAAGGGGTGTCATTAATGTATGTTTTAAAAGTTAAAAGCAAAAGAACTGTTTTATTTGCCATAGCGAGTTCACACATGTCATAAGAGGAAGTCAGCACACGATCAAAAATATTTCATGGATACAAAATTCCTTTGGGAATTTTAATGCTATCACAAAAAGAGCAAACTTTAATTTTTGTAGAACAATAAACAACTTACTTAAGTTACTGTCTTTAAATCATGGCAAATACTGTACCATATACAAAAAGACGTAACCTTAGATTTGAGAGTTTGATTTTTTTTTTTCCTTCTAATATAAAATTCCAAGAGTACTGTGGGAAATAATATTTTCTTTTGTCCAGTAGAAGGAACACCTGAAGTTTTTTTTAAAAATAAATAATTCTTGGGCTTCAAAGTATTCCCTATTTCTTGATCCTCAGTGTCTCAATCAAAAATTACACAAACATCAGATTCTGCCATGGATGCACGGTAATTCTTAGTATTCCTAACAATTCAAAATGAGGAATCATAACTCAAATACATATATGCCTTGCAAATATTTTTCCATTAATCATCCATTAATCTATGGGAAGCCATAAAAATGGCCTTTCTCTCACAATCAAAACAGAAAATACGACATGTTGTCTTTCCATGCCCTGTGCTGTTGGATACTGCAACTTCAGTGAGACCAGGAGACCCTGCTTACAGCCCGGCCATGGTGCATGCTCCTTACTTAAGTCTGAAGGTAGGCTGCAGATGTGAAGTTGAGGTGTGTCATGAAGGCTACAGAGGAAGCAGCGACCTAAATGAGTATCTTTCCAGTTTCCATAAAAGGAAACCAAATAAAATAAGGCAGAAAAACAGTGAGTGAGCCCAGTCTACGGTGACTTCTGCTTACAAGGCTGTTCTTCATACATTGCTACAGTCAGCAGTGCAGTCTAGTCCTCACCATTGCCAGCCAGAGAAAATTCTTCTGCTCTGCTGAGAGCCCCCAAGAATCCTCTCGCAGCTTGTAAAATGTTTTCTCACATACTTGCTCGGTGCTTGTAAAGAGGTCAAACTGACCGTTACATCCTGAGGACACCGTTGCATCATATGAACTAAATACAACCGCACTGAAAAAAAAAAAAGGTCTGCTGCTTTCTCTGACCCCAGCTAGGGAGCTCTGGGTCACCATAGAGTGACGGAGAAGAAAACAGAAACGTGACGGCTCAGAAAAGGGCTTGTGAGAGTAAATATGAAATGAGAGAAAGAAAAGCACAACTTCCTACTTCGTAAGGCTGCAGAAAGACATTGAAAAGTCAAGATACAGTTGTCATGAAGGTTTTCAAATATAACTAACATAACTTACTAAATCTTCAGAAGCACAAATTATTTACATATTTTTATGGAAAATAAACTATAATGCAACACATTTTTAACCCCAATTAGAGAACTTTTTACTTCATTAGGTGATCTTTAATGCTTCTAGTCAATCTCAATCAAGCATTTAGATGACTAGAGCCACTCAGCAGCAAGACGGCCCGTTTCTTTCAAATTCTGGAGGCATTTGGTATTTTTTCAAGCATCTATGCTAACAGCACTGGCAGCAGATTGCTGTGGGGTGGGCAGGTGCTGTGCATCACTTTCCAAAC